ATTTCACTTTTTTCTAATAAATATGCCACAAAGGTGGCTTCCAAGATGAATGCTATGAAAATACTGTGAGCGGGAGGGGGCATTCAGGGTGATCTGTTGCTGCCTGGCCAGAAGGGACTGCATAGGTTTCACTAGAAAAATCTAGCAGTGAATGTAGAGAAGACAATGCACTCTGTTCTAAGAAGCAGCTTGGGCCCATTGCTGAGTGAGACTGTTCCATGACTATTTCAGGTGTCTGAAGCCAGGGCCTTTGGACAAAGGCATTTCAGACCAAATGAGGAATGTTTGTCTTTGGGTGTGGGGAAGGATTCCAGGAGAGAGATGCTGAGAGATCTCCCTGCTCAGGGCAGCCTAGAGCAGCAAAGATAAAGCCTCACCTCCCCCTCCCAGGAGTGAGGACACTTCCACTCCAGAGTAAACCTGAGAGGCTGGGAATGAAGCTCAGTGTAGACCATCTGCGGGATATGTGCAAGGCCCTGGGTTCCATCCCCAAGTTGAAAGCCAGAGTAAAGATGAACTCTCCTCCCCAGAGGAAGGGCAGCCTTCACTAAGGCCAGAGCTTCCCACTTTGACAGTTGCTTCCTCTAGCTCTCACCTCTCTGGGTTAGAGACTGACTCAGGGAACTGATACAGTGATTCTTTGGCTGGTGCTCTAACCACAAATAGCAAACTGTCTTTGTCTTTGACCCAAGATCTCCAAGATCTTTTGTGTCAGTGTGCAGTGCAGTAGCCCAGGCCAGTCCATTAGCTTGCAGTAGGGTAAACTCTTGACCTTTTCTGACTTGCCCATAATGAAGACACAGTCAGGGCTGTCAGACACTCACAAGCCCTTTAGCAGAGGGAAGAAGCCTCATGCCTTGGTCCAGGCTGGCACTCCAGTAGTCTCTCTACGAGCCACTCGGTGTAGCTCATCCTCCTCCCCAAGTGTTCCACTCAGACCAATGGGACACACAAGTCTGGCCAGGTTCCCACCAGGCTCTTCTGCCCTCTAACCAAGACATCTCTGGAACCTCCAGGAGAAAGTGGGGTGCCATATGAGAGGGGAGGTGTCAAGTGCCTACTGGTGCTGGGCAATCAACTCAATAGCCCAGGGCCCCAGCTGAGACGGAGAGCCTTTTGAGAGGTAGGGTATCACAGCACCTTTCAAAGAAAGAGACAAGACAGACCTGGAAACAGTGGAGTGAATCCACCAGTGTCACGGTGACCATCCCACTGAAACCCACCGGGGTCATGTTCCATCCCATTGGAACCCTTAGGATGACAGTCCCATCCTGCCTGGATCCCCATGGCATATTTTCACTCTACCCAATGGAAGTCTAAGTACCAAACAAAAATAATTTAAAAGGTAACCAGCTTTCATGGGTTCTAAAAAGTCCCAGAAGTTGGGTTAGTTTACGCAGAGACTGGGCATCAGTTTGACAGTGGTGTGTTTAAGGTGATCCCATCCCAGTGGGAAAGACCAGGCAGGGCCTCGAATCCCTTCTACCCCAAGTGACTTGGGAGGCTGTGATAGGTGTGATACACACTGATGTGAAAGGCATAGGTGGACACTATGAGGACCACAGACAGGAGTAAGGCCTCTCCCTTTGTCAGAAAATGAGGCTCTCCCACAACCTACACTAAGGCTGAACAAAGGCAAACCAGCAGTTAGATACTGAAGAAGAGGGACCCCAGATTCCCATGGCAGCAGGAGGAAACTCACTTAACAATGAGGATGACAACCACGAGTGAAACAGGATGAAGTACAGCTTTGCCACCTGATGGGTCACCAGGGCAAAGCCATCTGCCAGAAGTAGGAGGCTAAGGATCCAGACTTCTGAAAAATTTAGTGGGTTCCCTGAGCTTAGGCACAGATGCCAAGACACTACCCTTTTCCTAGGAGTGCTATCAACGTGCCCCACCCACCCAAAGTGCTGATCCCCTGTGTGTCACACTGTCTTCCCAGAAACAATATCATGCCCCTGGTTCACCACCGTGAGCTCCATCAGTACAACAAAGGAGGAGGTGAGGTCATTGAAGTTGTTCTTGCAGTACCTGTCTTGTGCAAAATCTGACCTCTTTAAGACTGGGTTCCCACACACCAGGGCATCAGGAGCTGTGAAATTCAGGTCAAAGAAGCAGACTTTGCCATGGAATATTTCCATCCCAATGACAGAAAATGCATAGTAGACCACCTAAGGTAAGAGGCATCCAGTCACCAGGGAGCACTCAAAGATGAAACTCAGGAAGAACTGGGCTGTGGTTCCGGGATCCAGCAAAAAGGACACCAGCATATTCTCAGGGAAAGACACCTTCTTCAGCCAAGAGCTTCAAGGAGCCCCAGCAAGAAGGTGGGAAGGGAACAGCACTGCACGGTCTGTCAAGAAACCTGAGTAATCCACAGGGAACAGAAGGCAGGGCCAACTAGATCAAACGTAATGCCCCCGCCCGGCAACAATGAAACTGCTAGCTAGGTAGTGGGTTAAATTCTCACTAAACAACAGTTAGTCCCCTGGAAGTGGGGAGGAAAGAGTATAAAGTTGGGTCTTAACCTTGTTCTTTCTGCCAAAATAAATTTTAAGGGTACCAAAAGATTAAACATAAAACTGTGAAGGGAGTAAGAGTGAACAGAACAGGACCTACTAAGCATCATGTAAAACCTAGAACTACAGAAGGAAAGATGAATGAGTCTGACTATATACTAAATTTAAACGTGAGTACATGTTCATGGATGTGTAGGTAGGGGTGTACGTGCACGTGTGCACATGCATGTGGAGGCCAGACTTCCATGTCAAGTCTTGATCTGCTCTCTAACTTATT